GGACAAAGCATCCAGGCTTCTTGTGCATGGTGTAGAATGCGCTTAGCGGGTCTGTGAGAGTAGAGCAGCCTGGTACAAAGCTCTTGCAATAAAAAGGAATCGGTTTTCCGAAGGGCGATGTGTGCGTTTACCCCGCGTGTAAACGCACCCTTCCTGCTGTTACAGTTGTCAGCAGGGGGTACTGTGTGTCACCGTTGTGAAAACTTTGATCATCTGCTGAACTGGAATTGAGATGTATTAAAAAGCTCCCTGTTGGAGTGGCTGCTGGTCTGTGTGCTGTTGTAACGTTGTTCCGTTCCTGGCTCCAGGCGTAGCGGATGTGCCGGCAGGGAGCTTTGAATGCAGGTTGGCTCTGAGAAAGAGCTGACGCTCAGCGCGAGGCCACGCGCAGAACGGGCTGGTTTGCAAGCGACGCCATAGATTTGCACTGAACACCTTGAGTTTGTCATTAGGCCCTTCCTCCCCTGTTCATCTTCCCCACCAATAACAAAACTGAGAAGCACAGTGATATTAAGCCAATTATAAAGGTATTGTAACCGAGATTGAGCATTTCTCGGATGAAGCGGTTGTATGGACAGTTGCATTGTTGAACCATTCTGTTTTGTATGTTGGTGCACTGTGAGCATCTGTAGAAACTTAACAGATGAACAGATCTCACTAAAACATTCTCTTTTACTGCTTTTCACAGTCTGGTACGATGGTTGTGAATCCAGTACGGTTACTGTTTGGTTGGTGATACCGTTGTCCTGGTAGACTGATAGTTGGTGCTGAAAGTGGAATCTTGTTATTTGGAACCTGTTAAGCAGAATACTAACAAAAGTATGTTGTTTGGTGAGAAAATGGGTATTGGCTACCAGTGTGATTCAGCACTGAAGGACAAATGCAGTCTAGCATTAGCAATGTTGTGCAAAACTGTTTTGGGGTAGCTGGAATGTTATATGCAAGTCTGCTTACTTTTTTTCTTTTTAAGAAGAACAACTAGCTATAGTTAAAATCTGTTTACATGGTCAGCAGAGTGAAGAGTGGAAATCAGAAATGCGTTAAGTGGTTTATAGCTAAAATGAAGCTGAAATGAAACGGAGTTGCTGGCTGTAAATGTGAAAAAAAGAAAATAACTTTTAGATGAGGGGCAGTGGTTGCAGAAAAGCGGGTGCAAAATGTCTGGTTAGTCTGAATTTTGAATAAATTTCCTGTGATCAAGTTTTGCAGCAGCCTGTCAGGTAAGCTAGCAGGATATAAAATTGCTGTTCTAAAGCTTGTCTCTAAGCTTATGAAATACATTGCATCTTGTTAGCTGTAGTAACGTGCAGCTACGGTAGAGGACACGTAAGCTCACTCCTGTCCTTTTTGTCTGAGGGTTTGGGATTAAGGTTGAGGAAGGTGAGCCTTGGCAGAGTTTGCTGCTGTGTGTTGGTACTGTCCCTTCCTACACAGATTCATTTCCTTCAACAAGGGCTTGGGAAACACTCATGCTCTCTGAGAATGGACTGTGGGTGTTTCCTTTAATAGGTATAAAGTATACGTTCAAAAGCTACAGAAATATATGTATATATCTATAATGATATGTAACAATACTTAGTAATAATATTTCTCCTGTACTTACTAGCAACTGATATTTGGTGTTTCAGTATTATTGGTTTTCAAGACACTTTTATTTGTACGTGCCACAGATCTGTGTTTTTATTTGCAGGTTCGAGTGGAAGGCTTTAACTACATTGGCATGGGCAATTCCACTAACAAGAAAGATGCACAGAGCAACGCTGCTCGAGACTTTGTCAATTACTTGGTTCGGGTGAACGAAATGAAGAGAGACGAAATTCCCGCTTTTGGAGTAAGCTGCTCTTTCTCCTTGCCACAAGCTAATCTTTAATTGCAGTGCTGTGCATCCAGTTGCATTTCATCCCTGGAGTTCAGTCTGGCACCCGTGTGCAGTGAAGAAGACTGAAAGTGCAGGACTTCTGCTTGCAGTGCTGGAAAGCTGGAATATATACAGTGAATGTTGTAGGCTGATCTGGTAAAAACAGCTGCGTGTTGGTCTGCATAACTGCTGAGGCTGGAGAGAATTCAGAGTCCCTGTAAGGTGCAGCCTGACTTGAATACTGAATACTGTGCTGAATACTCACACCTGACACTGGGAATTGCTTTAAATGGATGTTATGATATATAATACTATGTACTTTAAAAAAAAAAAATCACATCTCAAACCACGCATTGAAAATTTGGCTTTTTTAAAACCATAAATGCTTTCTGCCTTAGCTCCTCATGTGTAATAGGATCACTGCTTTTTATGGTGTTTTATGAACCATGCAAGCATCAGCAATGACTGTCACGTAAAAGCTGAGGAGGAAGGTTACTCTATCTTTACAGCAATTTTAGAGAACAGTAGATAAAGCATGAAGCTACATGTTACATGTTGGAAGAGTCTTTTTCTAGTGCCTCATTAAGGATATATCTGTATACGATACATAGTTTGGTCAGTGGAAGCAGTGTCCCTGCCCCGTTAGCCTAGTTGAAGCCTTATGGTAACAGGACCTATATTGTTTCTGATGTACCAGTTAGTTTCATGGCAATGCAATGTGTTGCATGGCTAGATCCTAAAGAGGGATAGCGTGTTCTGTATCTTGAATAAAGCAGAGGTGGTGTGGTCAATTAGCTAAACGTACACATCTCAAAATAGGAAGAATTCAAATTGTAATGATTAACCATAGTATTGTCATTTCCTAAGGGTATTAATGTTTTCTTACAGCATTTTTTTGTGTGTGTTCATAAAGTATATTTGAGTACCCGTGGATATATGATAAGGATTGGTATCTGTTATTTTATCCTGGGTGCTGAAACAGTTGATTTTATGATTGCTGAACTTCAGTAAGTCAGGGCTACTTGTTGGTTGGAAATCTTGTTATAGAACACCCACAAAAAGCTAAATATTCAGCAGTTGTATTCCTTTCAGTTTTTAAAAGGGTGTTACTATTGGGGGTTACTACTGGGAGTAACTATTGCACAGTGATGCGTGATCTCCTTAATCTGCCTGAACAGTTTTCTAGCTAAATAGTAAAAAGACTTATTCTGTACGAATGTGCTGATATTCCCCTTCATTCTCTTTCCTAGCCAGCGGCTGGTGATACCCCTGATGGACAAGAAGCAGCTAGGGATGTTACTGATTCCAGTTCTACTTTGGGTGGACCTCTTCCTCCACATTTGATTATAGAGGCTGAAATAGGTAAGACTGTGAAAACTGTAAGTTACACGTATGTGGATGTAATACGTGCATATAGGTTTGGGTGGGTTTTTTTCTCCCAAATAGCATAATTCTGCAGACAGAAGACAGACAGAAGTCATTGTAGTTTTGAGGCAGAGGTGTGAATGACTGCATGAGATCTGAGGGACTCGTCATGTCCTGTTGAGATTGCCAGGCAATACCTCTCCATTGCTAAGAACGTGTT